TGCGACGGGCTTCTCACGGGATTAGAGAGGTTGGTAACGCCTCACTGCCACCTCTAAACCCGGCTCCAGGACACACAGGCGGTGTCTGCTCTCGTCACTGTCACAAGTCGCCGCCACGGGTATCACTGGCACCCTTCGCCGGCACTGACGGCACTGTCTGCCGACCGATACGGTAATGAAGAAGTCGGACGATCGAATCACTCGATGAGCGCACCACGCACTTCCTTCAGACCGTGTACCGACAGCGCGCAACACAGTCGTCGCAGGTCACGTCCCGCGAAATCCCGGGTAGCGGTCACAATGTCACCGGAAACTTGCCCCGCCGTCACTGCCGGTGAGCCGTCACTCTGTCACAGCCGGCAGCCTGTCACACGTCACTGCACCGGCCGTCACGTAAATTCTGCAGTCTGCAGCGGTCGGTCACTGTTAATCCCGCGCGCCTGTATCGCTGACAGGTTAAATTGCCGTCACTGCCACGTCCTGTTCAGTTCAGACGCGGTGTTCGACGGACTCCACAGGTCAAGGAGTCGATCCGATGAACAGCTCTGGCTAGAGACGGACGGACCGCTTGAAATGTTCTGGAAAGGAGGGAATGATGAAGCTGAGATCACTTCAATGCTCCGAAATCAATCAAGCCCAAATTTAAAAAAAAAAAATATCACGCACTGTATGCACCGTTCATCGTATACATGAACGAACAAGAGCGGGTTGATTGAATAAAATCTTATGAACGTCCGGTTTTACAATGGCTACAAATACTTCGTCTCACCCAGAGGTGGAACTTTTTGTTTTTCATTGGGGTTGTAGTTTGCCGGAGCCCAGGGTATACCCCCACCAAAACCCGAAAAGTCCCCGGATTCGGCCCACTATTTTTCGGGAGGGGCCCACATTTTCATTAACAAAAAAAAAAAAAAAAAAAAAAGTGGTCCATCTCCAGGGAGAGACGGCTGACCCTGTCGTCCCTCCATTGGCTATGTGCCTGGTTGTAGGTACTCGGGTATCGCCAGTCGCCACCATGGTCGTGGCCATAGGCGGCGGAACGGGGAGGGCACCGGGGAACCGTGCCCCCTTTGATTTTGGCATTTTAACATTAGCCCTATGGGCGTTGCATGGAAAGAATGGGATCAAAAGTCGACAATGCCCCCCTTAATTGAGGGTGTTCCGCCGCTAGGTACTGGTCGTGGCGATTCGGAAACGGTAGGTAAACGCCCAAAATCACAGTCCCTATGAATACTTGTTTCTTTCCACATTTGACACAAACATTACTCAGTATTGGAGCAGGGCTCTTTCCCTACGAGTAACAATTTAAGCCACTCGTGGCAATTGACAGCGAAGACCTAAACAGAAATCTACGTTATTTTTAGACTAAAAAACTTAAAACGAGTCCATCTTGTATATTAATGCCACTGTCGTCTGGAATACGTCTATTACGGAAACGGGTAGTATAAACCGGAATAGTGACTGATCAGACATGATATATTTTGCAAACGAGGACAACATACCGAACACAATGCCGCAAAGGAACATAACACTGGATCTAAATTATCTCAACCTGAGGAAACTAAATAATAAATGCCACAGCCTTTTCATATCACCGAATACTTCAATTAACTAGATGATCTTCTTTTTTCAACGAGCAAATGTATTATGCATTGTTTGGCGAATCGTAAACAAAACGCATACTCTTCACAGCCACGATGGCTAGGAACACATAGCGGCTTGTCTGCCCCTGAGACACTGAACGTACACCGATTTTCAGCTAAATCGAAAGACCCCGCCGTTTACCGTTAAAATGTTAGTTGGCCGTTAATTCGTTAACGGTGCAAAATACCACCCCAAAGAGGTACATTTTCAGAATAAGCGCATCGAGGAGGCCCTGTACACCGATTTTCAGCCAAATCGAAAGACCCCGTCGTTTCCCGTTAAAATGTTGATTGGCCGCTTACTCGTTAACGGTGCAAAATACCACCCCAAAGAGGTACATTTTCGGAATCAGCGCATCGAGGAGGCCCTGTATACCGATTTTCAGCTAAATTGAAAGACCCCGCTGTTTCCGGTTAAAATGTTAATTTAGCCGTTAACTCGTTAACGGTGCAAAATACTGCCCCAAAGAGGTACATTTTCGGAATCAGCGCATCAAGGAGGCCCTGTATACCGATTTTCAGCTAAATCGAAAGAACCCGCCGTTTCCCATTAAAATGTTAATTGGTCGTTAACTCGGTTACGGTGCAAAATACCACCCCAAAAAGGTACATTTTCGGAATCAGCGCATCGAGGAGGCCCTGTACACCGATTTTCAGCTAAATCGAAAGACCCCGCCGTTTCCCGTTAAAATGTTAATTGGTCATTAACTCGTTAACGGTGCAAAATACCATCCCAAAGAGTCATATTTTCGGAATCAGCGCATTGAGGAGGCCCTGGATACCGATTTTCAGCCAAATCGAAAGACCCCGAAATATGCTGCTGTGAGGATGATATTCGTTGCTGCTGATTTGACAGACGTCGCCAAAACCTTGCATTTGTATCAAATGCGTCATGCTGGCTTACATGTGAATTAGTTTGCATCGTTTGCATTCTGTTCGCGAACCTGTCAGTAAGATTATCAGCACTAATTATCGCACAGGATTGGTTTTTACTTTTTATGGTCGTCAACGTTGAGTTCAAGTGTCGTCATTTTAGCCAAATATTCGTGCTGATTGGTGGTATTGTGCCTGTCGCCACGTGTCCTCTGGTATTTCACACGCCAACGACACTTATTTAGCCGGATGATAGACAAGGACTGTAGGAGAGCGATGGGTAGATAAGGATGGTGAGGAAGACGCCAGCCGCTGCCCGATTCCAGCCTCTCGATGGCGAGACCACTGTAATCGGACAGATCAACCGATACTCCGGCGCCTCGATGGCAAGGGTAGCCGGAGCCGACTGGTCGCACCCCTGTCTGAGCGGAGACCCCGCACCCGAGCCTCGATGGCAAGACCCGGGGAACGAGTTTAAGCTCAGTGACTCGATGGCGAGACACTGTGGCCGCCTCCCTCACACACCCCGGAATAGGCCGTGTTATGAGTCCCGGATGAAAGGAAATGATCGGCTACTCGCACGCTATGAAGACTCGCTGCTGTTCACTGTCCCGTCCCCTTTTCCACTGGTCCAGCTCCTCTCCACACCAGTTAAGATATTTTCACTTGCTGTATTGTGCACCACCACCACACCACAGCCAGAGCACCACTTCCACCCACACAGCGAGCACTTCCCCGCCGAGCATCCAGAACGAACTCGCCCTCGAGCCCCGTGCGCCGACCCGAGGTCACCTCGCCGGCGCCCCGAGGGCAGGAGCCCACACAACCAATCACCGGGCTGCTTGCTATGGGGCCAGCTCAGTGCCGGGATAGCCCCAGGCGCCACGTGGTCGGCCGGCCGCCACATGGCCCGCTCGGAGGTCCGGGCGGCCCGGCCTGCAGCCGCCGGTGCTAACATCCCCCCGCACCGTGTTGCACTGCAGGGCAACACTCACGAAAGGTAACCGGCGTGCTGCCGTACACATCGCGTCGCTAACGCATATAAACCATTTCACATTCCAACAAATACGATGCTATTTCTTGAAACACCAGCAATTATAACATGAAACAAAAGAAAGAAAAAAAAAACACTTCCAGTTTCCACTTCGTGAAACAAGGATTAATGATGGGGATCAGTGGTATATCCGCACCGACGCACCAAGGCAACTGGCGACGTCATCACTGTTAGTCGAATCGCTGCCGCCCAAGCAGAAACCGCCACATCCGGGGAAGCTACCGCCCGGGCTGGTGTAGCCGAGGAGGTTGCCGCCACCCGTGCTGAGGCGGCCGAGGAGGCCCCCGCTGCCTGCGCCGAGGCCACTGCAGCGCTCGCGGAGGCTAATGCCTCCCACGTTGGAGATGGAGAGACGCTGGAGAGCCTCCAGAGGACCCTAGGTCCTCTAGTGCTTGATAGCGATTTGTCAGGATCGTGTAATTCCCGCTGGTTTATCTCACGGTTGCGGAGATGCCTATGTTTTTGTCTCTCCCAGCCCCTCGATGGCGAGGCCACTGGGAGTAGACGGATGGGTCGATGGTGTTCGACCTCTCGTTGGCGAGATGACCTGGGCGTCACTTGATTCCGACGCCAAAGTCACTGACAGTCCTCTTCTAGGAAGCATAGCTTGATTGCAGGTCTGGTGTAGATTCTCCCGCCAGAGGTTCTCAGTTCAGCAGACCTCACTATGCCGTCTTCTCCAGGAAATACTCTTGTGATACGAGCCAATGGCCACGACCCCCTGGGCATATTTGTGTCTGTCATGAGAACCAGATCCCCCACGCGTAGGTTTCTGGTTTCTCGGTGCCACTTGCTTCTGCGCGACAAAGTTGGCACGTATTCTCGCGTCCATCTCCGCCACACGTGCTCAGCGACTGCTTGAGCTTGTCTCCAACGCCGACGACTGCTCAAGTTTCCGTTTCTTGTCAGAACTGGCGCAAGATGATGAGAAGCGTGACCCAACAGAAAGTGATTGGGTGTGAGCGCCTCGGCGTCAGTTGGGTCGGAGCTTACGTAGGTAAGCGGCCGACTGTTCACCATGTGTTCAACTTCTGCAAACACGGTCAGCAGAACTTCGTCCGTCAATACCTGTGAGCCGACTACGACTTGCAGGCACGTCTTTACAGATCTGACCATGCGCTCCCACACCCCACCCATGTGGCTTGCGGCTGGTGGATTGAAGCGCCAGTCAATTTCGTAGGAACTCAGTTTCTCTGGCATCTGCGCCAGAACCCCTCGGAGCTCTTGACGAAGCTCACGGTTGCTGCCGACGAAGTTTGTCCCACGGTCTGAGAAGATGACTTCCGGCTGCGATCTACGAGCAAAGAATCTTCTGAGGGCCATGATACAACTGTCTGTATCTAATGAGTGGGCCACTTCTAGATGTACAGCTCGCGTCGCCAGACAAGTCACCAGCAGTCCGTATCGGGTCTCCGTTTTCCTGAATCTTTTCACATGCAGCGGCCCGAAGAAGTCGACACCAGCGTTTCGAAATGGCCGTCCAGCTTCGAGTCTCTCCCGAGGGAGATCAGCCATCCGCGGTGGCACAGGGGCGGCCCTGCGACGGCGACAGAAGGAGCAGTCACGAAGCTGCGCCTTGATGACTGAGCGTCCTTGCGGAATCCAGTACTTCTGGCGCACCAAGTTCAGCGTGTGCTCAGCTCCTGCATGACCATGACGAGTGTGTTCGTGCTTGATGACAAGCCGAGCCAGCTCACTTTGCCGTGGAAGGATGATTGGGTGTTTGGCTTCCTCCGAGATGCATGCCTTGCCGATGCGTCCCCCGACTCTGACCAGGCCGTCCTCGTCCTGAAACGGGGCCAGAGGAAGCAGAGAACTGGACGAAGGCAGCGGCCGTTGCTGCGTCAGACAGCGCACTTCTTCAGCATAGGACTGCGCCTGTTCCCTGGCAACGACCCACACCTCCGCTGCTTGCAGTTCCGAACGTGAGAGTGGTCCGGTGGCCTTCGGCAGCTGTCCTGAAAGACACGCCTTCATGTTGCGCGTAAAGCGCATCGTCCATCCAACGACTCGCTTGAACTTCCCCCAGGATGAAAACCTCGCTGGAATCGGTTCCTCTGATGTGCACTTGGTAGTCGTGAATACCAGCGCGTCCCGCATCTCTTCATCCTGTGCCAGCTGGGCTAGCTCCTCTTGAGGTGGCCACTGGCTGACGTCCTCCCTCAAGAAGGTGGGACCCGTCAGCCACCTGCCGTCCTGACTGAGCATGAGCACCGAAACCCCTCTGGAACAGTCGTCAGCGGGGTTGAGCTTCCCAGGAACGTGGAGCCAGCACGCGTTGTGGGTCAGCTCGTGAATCTCAGCCAGTCGGTTGGCCACGAAGGTCTTGAACCGTCGGGTTTCATTACCAAGGTACTGCTGAACGACCTTGCTGTCCGTCCAGCAGAAGATGTCATCCGGTGGCTGAGTGATCTCACCGAGGACGGTAGCCACCAGACGCGCTCCAAGAACGGCTGCTTGCAGCTCCAGACGGACAATTGATAGTCGCTTCAGTGGAGCGACTCGGCACTTGCCGATCAGGAAGCGACAGTGGTGTAACCCATCGCTCGAAGTTGTCCTCCAGTATGCCACAGCGCCGAACGCACTCTCTGACGCATCGCAGAACACATGAAGTTGGCGTCGCAGTGTCCCTGGGTCGCTGGGGTTCACGCAGCGTTGCATCACGACTTCGTTCAGCTTCTCTGCTTCACTCAGCCATTCCAACCATTGGCTCAGCTCAGGTTCGGGTAGTGGCTCGTCCCACTCCAGATGTTTCCACCAGAGTCGCTGCATCATCATCTTTGCTCTCACGGTAACAGGAGCAGCAATCCCCAGAGGGTCAAAGATTGTTGACACTTTGCTGAGCACACCACGCTTGGTTGCACTCACTTCTTTGGCTTGGAGACGAAACCCCAATGTGTCCTCGTCTTCCTCCCATGCGATGCCCAGCGTCTTTTCAGCGGTGTGCGAGCTCCTGAGACATAGGCTCGCAGAGGCGCTGGCTTTCTCACTCTCTGGAACGCCTTTCAGCACAGCGGGGGAACTGCTTCTCCACTTCGTGAGGTGAAAACCTCCTCTCTCCAGTGCCTCCTTCACGTCAGCGTACAGCTGTTTGGCGGCGTCTTCCGTCATGCAAGAGAACAGGCAATCGTCCATGTAGAACGACTTGGCCAGTTGCTCGGGACTTCTACTGAGAACCTTGTCTGTCTCCGCTCCATAGTCCAGAAGTGCCTTTCTCAGCACGTAGCTGGCCGTTGCCGGTGATGACTTCGCGCCAAAGATGACCACCTCCATCTGATAGACGTCGGGCTTGCGGTGGCGCTCCATATCTCGCCAAAGAAAGCTCGATGCAGGCTGGTCTTCTGTCCGGATCCTCACCTGATGATACATCTGCTTGATGTCCGCGGTCACAGCGATCAGACTTTCCCTGAAGCGCATGATCACCCCAGGAAGGCTTTGTAGTAGATCTGGACCTGTGATGAGCTTCGAGTTCAGTGATACACCTTGGTATGTTGCCGCAGCGTCAAAAACGATTCTCAGCTTCCCCGGCTTGTTCGGGTTCACTACTGCGTGGTGTGGCAGATACCAACGCTTCTCCTTCGGTTCGTCCGCTTCTTCTGCTGAGAGCTTCCTTGCGTGACCATCCTTCACATATCCGTCGATGATGGCTTGGTACCTTGTAGCCAGTTCTGGCTGCTTGTCGAGTTTCCTCTCGATGGACTGAAGACGTCGGTATGCTTGGTTCCAGTTGTCCGGCAACATCGGTTCGTCTTCACCCCACAGAAGTCCAGCTTCATATCTGTCCCCCACCTTCCTGGTCTGCTGATCCAAGATTCGCATAGCTCTGAGATCTTCTTGAGATCGTGCATCAGAGCTGTTGATCATGGTGCCGAAGGCCTCGGTCGTCCACCAGTCTTGGACCAACTCTTGCAGACCCTCCAGAGCGTCTTCGGGAGCACGTTGACGCACGAACATGACTTGCCGCATTGTGCTTGGAATCAGGGTGGATATCGATCCCGTCAGGGTCCAGCCAAAGTCTGTCCGGATAGCGACGGGCATTCCGGGGCCTCCCACCCTGACCTCTCGCTGCAGCACAGCTTCCAGAATGTTGGCACCAAGTAGGAGCTCGACGTGTGCGCCGTTGTACTGCTGTAGGTCCAGGTCCTGCAAGTGCTTCCAGCTGCGAAGCTGCTTGCTACTCATGCTGGGTGGGGCCACGTTCAACCTTGGCACAGACCACACCTCGGGCACGACGATTCGATTTCTGCTGGTCGCTGTGCTCAGAGGACTGACCGTCAGGTGAACTCGAAGAGACGACTGTCTGGTACCGCTTCCTTCGATGTTCTGTAGCTGCAGATTCTCTCGGACTCCAGGGACCCCAACCTCTTCCAAGACATCTTCACAGCAGAGCGATGTCTGCGCTCCCGGGTCCAGCAGTGCTACTACGTCTCTCTCCCCGTTTGGGCCGTGAATCCGCACCGGCACCAACTGCAGCAGTGTGTCTGTCGTCTCTGTGAGAGCCGTGCCGACGATGCGACTTCCTTCTCGTGCCACTGTTTTTGGTTCTGTTTGGCTTTCTTCATTACAAGCGGCGCTTCTGTCCACATGTATGAGTCGGTGATGAGATGCATTACATCCATTCAAGTTGCATCGTCTTGCAGAGCGGCAATCCCTCATGAAGTGGCCCTTGTTCAGGCAGCCCCAACACAGTCGTTCCTTGCTCACTACGACCAGCCTCTCCTCCACCGTCTTCGACTTGAACTCCGTGCAATCCTGAAGCTTGTGCTGTTCCTTGCACAGGACACAGAACCAGCGACGTCGGTTGTTTTCCGTCTGGGAAGACGTAGCCGACGTAGTCAGAGTTGTTCGTCGCGCCGAGGTCTCCCGTGCACTCGCGGATGGCCTTTTTCTTTCTGGATCGCGGTTGTGGTTGGCCGAGTTTCTCAAGATGGCAGTCTCTGTCTCCAGCCACTTGCTGAAGATCTCCAGATCGGGCTGCTTGGGATGCATCTGATGCACTTCTCGTCCCCACTGGTAGGACAACTCCGCAGGAAGCTTCAATACCACTCGACGCAGATTCTCGATGGCTCTCAGATCATTGTAGTGGTTCAGAGCGCGCAGCGTCAGCACAGTGTTGCTGACAGCTGAACTGAACCTCTCCACTGAGGCGATGTTGTTGATTGAAGGAGCTGGAGTTGCAAACATGGAGCTGAGATATGCTTGGCTGATGTCACCTTCTCGACCAAAACGCTCGTGCAGCCTTGCCAACGCCTGGTGATACATCTTGCCATCGAACAAGAATCCCTCGATGGCTTGATGGGCGACTCCATCTACTGCTTGCTGTAGATACGCCATCCGCTCCGTGTCAGAGAGAGATGCCTGATCGTGAACCAGTGCTCTGAAGAGACTGATCCAGCGCGGCCACTCACTTGGTTCGCCTGTGAACCGCGGCAAATTAAGACGTGGAACACTGTTGGTAAAAGCTGACATCCCAGGAGGTGGATGCCCGTGCTTCTCCTGCCCTCTGCTGTTTGATGTCCAGTTGTCTGGGTTCAGAGATGAACCATCCACCTCCACTTCCGGAGCAGCCTTAGGTCCTTGTGGTTGTGGTCTTGGACCAGGCACATAGTCGGGTACGCTCGTGCGATGCTGTGGTTCGGCAGCTTGATCTACCCCCGCACCTTCAGCAGATGCCTTTCTTCCTTTGACAGCTGCTTCGTCGAAATCATGCCGACGATCCCAGTTCAATTCGTCTTCCGCAGCCTGATACATGTGTAACTTCCGAGCAGCTCTGTCGCGGGCCTCTTCAGCTATTCTGAGCTGTAGCACCCTGTTCCGCTCCTCCAGAAGACGGCTTTCTTCCAGCTGAGCTCTGATGTCATGCAGCTTCCGATCAGCATCCTCCAGTTCCACAGCAGCCTCTCTGGATCGAACTGACACAGCGGTGCCTGCTGACGTGTGTGACTTGGCACGACTTTGACCATGTCTGGAAGAAGCAGCCGATGACTTGGAGTCATCCAGCCCCTGAAGATACTCCTGGACCTTCCCTCGAATAGCCGACTCTTCTTCTTCAAGATTATCAGCGTATCCCTGAGCTTCCTCCAGTTCTGCGTCATTGAGTTGGGTTTCATACTCCTGATGAACTTTTCTCAAATCAGAAAAAGCTTCTTTCAGCCTTCCGTTTACCTCCTGGATGCAACCGCGGTTCCGATGTCTTGCTAGCTCTGCCTCTAACACCTTGGACACCCTCGTCACGACAGCCCTCTTGATACCACGCAGTCGTCGCAGACCAGCAAGCTCTTGATCTCTAACATCCTTAAAAGCTCCATCTGCGGTGGGATCGGGCCGTTTGACATTCTTTGCCTCTTCTTTTTCTATCCCCATCTTCTTCTGTTCAGCTCACTGGTCGCAATCCGGCCCGCGGAGGACCAGAAATGTCGCCACGTGTCCTCTGGTATTTCACACGCCAACGACACTTATTTAGCCGGATGATAGACAAGGACTGTAGGAGAGCGATGGGTAGATAAGGATGGTGAGGAAGACGCCAGCCGCTGCCCGATTCCAGCCTCTCGATGGCGAGACCACTGTAATCGGACAGATCAACCGATACTCCGGCGCCTCGATGGCAAGGGTAGCCGGAGCCGACTGGTCGCACCCCTGTCTGAGCGGAGACCCCGCACCCGAGCCTCGATGGCAAGACCCGGGGAACGAGTTTAAGCTCAGTGACTCGATGGCGAGACACTGTGGCCGCCTCCCTCACACACCCCGGAATAGGCCGTGTTATGAGTCCCGGATGAAAGGAAATGATCGGCTACTCGCACGCTATGAAGACTCGCTGCTGTTCACTGTCCCGTCCCCTTTTCCACTGGTCCAGCTCCTCTCCACACCAGTTAAGATATTTTCACTTGCTGTATTGTGCACCACCACCACACCACAGCCAGAGCACCACTTCCACCCACACAGCGAGCACTTCCCCGCCGAGCATCCAGAACGAACTCGCCCTCGAGCCCCGTGCGCCGACCCGAGGTCACCTCGCCGGCGCCCCGAGGGCAGGAGCCCACACAACCAATCACCGGGCTGCTTGCTATGGGGCCAGCTCAGTGCCGGCATAGCCCCAGGCGCCACGTGGTCGGCCGGCCGCCACATGGCCCGCTCGGAGGTCCGGGCGGCCCGGCCTGCAGCCGCCGGTGCTAACAGTGCCAATTGACAAAATTGCGAACAGAGTGATATTTCACTTAAGAAATGTATTTGATATTATGATTATGGTGATTGAATGCTACATAGGGTGGAGGCTTAGGTTAGGTTAATTTATTTCTGAAGCTTACTGTTTTGTGTCAAGCTTTTCATCTATGCTTATCTCTTTGATAAGCACAGCCCACAGGTATGAAATATTTAGTGAGAAAACCCAAAAGTACAGTGGCGGATCAGGATCCAGGGGGGGGGGGCAAAATGGGCATTTGCCCCTCCCAAACAGCATAATTTTAATATTACGCCTATGGACGAGGCATGGAAAGAATCGATAAATTGTTATGGTCTGCCCCCCCCCCCCAAACTCTGAGCTGGATTCGCCACTGCAAAAGTATGATGAATGTTATGATTTTTTTTTTGCTTCACACTTTCATGTTACATGTTAAGATTTTTTGGAACACTTTCAATATGATTCACTTAGTATGCTTAAGAAGTGTGAAGTGATTGACTTTCATATCATGCTCTGCTCACTGTCTCAGCGGAATAATATGTTCTTAACAGAGCACTTTCAATGTTTTTAGCATCTGGAATTCAAAAAGATGTCCTAATTTATTGATATCTTCACTTTCTTGATATATCTCAATTATCTGCCTCTGTAGGGATACATATTTTGTTCATTTTCATGTGTTTCAGGTTAATTCTTAATTTTCCAATGTTGGGGTTGTAGTTTTGCCATTGGGGTTGTACTTTTGAAAATTGGGGTTGTAGCTACAACCGCCACGGTATATAAAGTTCCGCATGTGGTCTCACCTCTAAGCTCACCACTTGAACCTCCCAGTAGCACTTGCACACCGCAGCGCTCTCACGCACGCTCACGTTCACCGCACACCGCAGACACTCCCCTCCTCTCCGCACGACGGCCGGTCGCCGACTGACCCGCCCGCCCACCCTACCCCGCCCTCCGCCTTCGCCGCCGCCGCTGCCGCCGCTCCGACCTCACCCAGTGGCTACTACTGTGGGAGCGGGTGGCACATCACACACGGACCGCTACCTACGACGGTACTCGGCCAACAATAGGAGTCAACCGGGCGACCCGGCCGACCCGCGCTGACACCGGGTCACGGGAAGGTCAGCGGCTC